AACAACAGATCTTGCATTGTTCCAATCCTCCATCATTATGCTTAAATGACTAGAATTTCCATTTGCATCTCTGGACCTTTTAGCTGCTAATGTAGTGGCCTCACAGCACAAGGCTTCCAAATCAGCCCCAACATATCCATTGCAAGATGCAGCTATCATTTTTAAGTCAGCACTGGAATCTAAGGGAATCTTCTTTGTGTAAAGCTGAAAATCAGTTGTTAGACACATCAAATTAGCTGCCTTGGTTGAACTTAAATCAAGAATTCTATAAAACAGCTAAACGGTGGAAAAATTCAAGGATGACTTTTGTCATTAAGCAATTGATAGTAGAATTCCATCAACATTTCAAAACGTACAACCTTAAGAATTTGAAAAAGTTCCTCTTCATTTGGGGCAGTAACTTCAATTTCAGTATCAAAACGTCCATACCTTCTAAGGGCTGGGTCAATTGCATTCACTCTGTGAGAAGAAACCAAACTTAATGCATAAATAAATTGTCTAAATAACAACAAATAAAACTGGAACAACCAGCCTAAAACAATTGTAAAAGAAACCAGAATTCTACTATTAAGGCCACAGGCTTCAGAGAATCAGGAGACCACCTAATAGGGAAATTTCCAGGTTCTAACATCACTTCCAAGAACAAAGAGCCAAAGTGTGATATAATATTGTATAAGAGATCATGACTCTTAAGTAATCCATCAAGGCATGCCAAAAATATTTAAGCGATGGATAATCAAAACATTCTCATTTCAACCACCAAATACAGGATCAAATGCATGGTATAATAACTTTTTAGATTCAGTCAGATATTAAGCATAGCATATAGGTTAAAATAGCCAGGTATAAATGAATAATTTTTAAAGGTGAGGACCAAGACACATTAAGCCCCTACCATTTCAATTTGTATAAATGTAATATATATTAACCTTTTAAAACAGAAAAGACAACCTGTTAGTTGATGCAACCACAACAACTCTCGGCATAGATGAGGATGGTTTGTTTGAATCCATCAATGTGAAGAGCTGAGAAGCAATTCGAACATCTTGCTCCTTTCTGCTTGTAGAGAATAATATGGAGTAATAATGAAGTAAAAAATGAAATTAGCACACATGCTGCATGCATAAACATATAATTTCTTAATTCACTAAAATCAGTTCGAGCCATGTATTTGCTTTATTGAAGATTGTATAGAAAATGTTTGAACATATGAAATTAAAACTCTTCTAAAACTGATCAATATTACACTAGATCAAATATTTTGACAGTAAATAAAATTGAGTTGGGACATTTTCTTCTGCAAAAACAATTGCAAACTGATTTCTTTCACCATGATTAAGGGCCCATTTGTTTAATATTAAAAAATAAGTGATTTTTTTAGTAGTTTAGAGATTTTATAAAAAGATATTTTTATGGAGATTTTATAAAAAGTAAACATTATTTTATGTTTGATTATAATAATAAAAAAGTGATTATTAGTTAATTATTTTTAAATTTTATGATATCTTTCTTGATTTTTTTTATAAAAATAATTTATTATTATATTATTTTAAAATTTTATGATATTTTCGTATATCCTATCTCTTTAAAACACTTTACCTCGTCTACCACATTAGATTATTTTCAAAAGCTACTTTCTCAAAGTAGCTTCTTAAAACAATCAGAAATTTGCCTTTTTCGGATTCTGATTATTTTCAAAAGTTTAAACAAGCATCATAAAAACTCAAATAATAAAAATTTTTCAAAAAAAAAAAAGTGATTTTTTCACAAAATAAACTAAAACATATGGGCCAGAAGACCACTAAAGACAGCCATGGTGTTATCAATCATGATCATCTTCACAAGTTTTCAAGACCATGACTTGTGTTTGTAAAGTCTACCAAGTTATAGTTATTCACTAAAAAAGCACCTTCAACCATACAAAGACTAAACAACCAACTAAAAAACTGTAACCTGTCTCGGCTAAAGCTAAACAGCACCTTAACCATCCTGCCAAAAGGTCATCTTTCCTTTAGAATGCGTTTCAAGGAAATTAGCCTAGTTATGGTTGCTCCATTAACTTGACAGAGAACTTTTAATGCTATCACAGCCAATCTAATTATTATGCTGGGGAGTTCCACCAACCACCATATGACATTTTCTCTACGATTGTAAAATTGTGACAATTTATTTACAAGTCATTTCAACATAGCAAAACACATTACGACAAAGATGAAGAAAATGCTTGGAAAAAATAAATAAATATAAAGCTGGACAGTTAACAGTTGTCCCTTACCTGGAATCTCGCCGAGGACAGAGTACGTCTATTTCATCTATAAAGATAACTGATGGCTTTCCCCAAGTTGAATGAGATGATGCCTCTGCAAAGGCCTCACGTAGAATTCTCTCACTTTCCCCGGCATGTGCTTTATGGACAGAATGAGGACTGCAAAATACATAAACAGAAAAATAATGACAGACCACTTACTTAGACTAGAGTTCCGGTACACAAGATCCGCAAACAAAAATATAAAAAAATAAAAATAAAGAAAGGACGAACCTGATGATTGTCAAATGCGCTCCACATTCCTGAACAACTGCTCGTACTAGACTTGTCTGCAATAGCAATGAGACAAAATATATCACAAAATCATCCAGTTATCTTATCAACCTTAATTACTCATTGCTGTTGAAAGATATCAAAAACAAAAAAAAAAAAAAAACTTGTATTGATTTTAAAGCCTAAACCAACATTTTCCAACTAAAAGCAACCTTCCACTGGGTAGACCATGAAGCCATACTGAACAGAAAGCAAACCAAAAGGGACAATGTGTCTCATGACTCCAGCTAGAACTCTCTAAGGAATAAGCTGGCCGCACAAGATATACAAAATATTTGTATTAAAAGCAATTACTTAAAGCTCCAGCCTCCAAAACCAATTCGATTAATATCATAACAATTAATTAGCACCTCACCATTTGAAAGCAAGATGTGATTAAACAACAGATTCAACATTGTTCTTTACTTCTAGGATGAAATTACTTTATTATAGTTTATATTTAACAAGCAATACAATGGAATAAAAAGGGCTGGTCCACATCCTCAGTGCCAATTTTTACTGAATGGATCATTTCAAGAAGTTACCTTTCCAGTGCCTGGAGGGCCGTACAGCAGCAACCCTTGCTGCCACTGAAGGCAAAGAAACAAATTAGCCATAAACATAACAGCGGTTTAGAAAGAAATGAATTTACATAATCATAATTATGGAGTTCTTACACTTATGCATATATATGATGTGTGTGTGTGTGTGTGTTTTCACGGCTTGAACCGAAAATGGTAAAGGGAAAAGAGAGATGAAGACAAAGGAAGACGCTTTACTTTGATACCGAGCTTCTTAGCTTGGCGAGAATAGAGAAGAGGGAATATGATGAGTTCTCTGAGAGCTTGAAGTGCTTTCGCGTTGCCACCAATGGCTTCTTCAGCTCTCCACCGGTGTTCGGTACTGTTACTGTGGCTTTCCATCTGAGCCCAGATAGCAGAGATGAAAGGGTCTGTGTTTCCGACGGACTCGGGGTTGCACCGTAATGATTGGGCTGGGCTATGCCGTAATTATAACAATATTAATATTAATATAATTGTAGACCTTAAATCATTAAAATTTTAATTAAAAAATCATGAATTTTATTTGTAATTAAAAAATGTGAATATTTAATTAAAAAATATTTAATTACATTTAAATTATTTGTAACGTTAATTATAAATTTATAAAGGTTAATTGAGAATCTCAATTTTTTATTATCAACATATAAAAAATCAAGTAAATATATTTAACGTCAATTAAAAATTTATAAAAATAAGTTATGAATCACAAATCACTTATTAGTATTTTTTACTATCATTGAGAAAATTAAAAAAAGATAGTTAAAAATTTTGCAATGTTAGTTGAAAATTTTTTAAAATTTATTATGAATTTCAAACTAATCAATAAAAGAGAATTTATTACAAGTAAGAATCATAGTCTACTATTAAAATTTTAATAATTTAATGTATGTAATTGTCATTAATATTCTTACAGGATTCCTAATTATCATTTTTCCTACTTCATCTAGTTCTATTTATAAGGTAGGAAAAAAAGATATTTTTTTATTCTATTTACAAATCATCTCATTTAATTTTTATCATAAATTTTTTCATTTGACTTTCAATAAATTTTAAAAAGAGAAAATATGTTATTAAATATATATATATATATATATATATATTTAATAGGAATAAAGTTAAAAAATTATTAAATTTTTAAATTGAGTTATTGAATTTAAAATTTTTCTTAATTATAATAAAACATATTAAAAATATCTTATAAATATGATGTTAAACATGCCTTATAAATAGCAACAGAGAAATACAGTTTTGCCTGAGCCTATGCTTCACAAAGTAGCCTTATAGATGTAGTCTTTCTATTGTCAAAAGTCACTGTATTAAAAGTTCAATTAACAAAAATTAATTTAGTAAAAATGAATTGTTATAATAAAATTTTTATTTGAACATTTTTTTTAGAAGTCGATAGCCTTACAAAAAGGGCATTAATTTTATGATCAATTATATATTTTATGCAAATGTAATATATTAGAAGTGTTTAAAAAATATGATAAAAAATTTAAATAATATAAAATTTGATATGTTAAATGATAAGAATAAAAAATATAATGTTTGAAAGCACAAATCATATAAATAGTTTAACATATATTAATACTAAAAATTAATATGATTAATTATTCAATCTATAATTTACAATCTGATCTCTAATTGAATCACAAAATTTGCAACAAAAGTTATTCCTACTCTCTTTTAAAACCAACATAAAATTTCAGGGAAATTAATTGCGACTTAGCTACGAAGTTATGATCAAGCCATACAACTACAAACAGAGCAAATCAGAGGACATTATGATCTCCGCAACCTCTTGCAATATAAAGAAGTATGAGTAAAACGGGAAATATTGAACATCAAAACATTGAGCAGATCAACTAAAGCTAATTTGCACATTCATTTGCTTTCCGATGATCATGATTTGAATTAAATGTTAGAGAAACAAAGATATATCTTTTTGAAGCATATATTATACAATATGCTCTGGATTAAGGTACGTGAGTCAAAAGATGAAGAAATAAGGAATCAACTCAATTTTGATTTACTATGAATCGTCACACTGCCAGCAGATGCCTGATTTGCGGCTCGATTACTTCCGAAATTCCTGCGATTTGACTCCCTCGCAATTCTGGAACCAAACTACACCAATACGATTTGTTTCAAAGAAACAAGCACTAATTAATCACCAAGCTGAGAGGAAGCTTACAAGTAAAACTAACGCTTAATAATAACACAATGGTACAACGAAGGCTACAGGAGAACAGCGGCATTGCATTTTATATGCATTTATCCTTTTGTTCTACATTATCTAAAATGCTTTATCAACAAATCAAAATCAACATCAACATCAATTTAGTCCCTTATATGATTGTATTTTCAATTAGGTCTTTCACAAAACTATAATCAATAGTGTCATTTCTTTATCAGACTAGGATGTACCTAGTGCAATCTTGCATGGGATTATAATGTTTTTTCTTTTAAGAGCACATAAGCCAGCTTGGGTGGTAAGGTGGGGTGTGGTGAGGGCAGAGATCAAGTGTTCAAACTCTCCTAATGTATTTAAAAAAAAAAAGGAACATTAACAGTAACTTTTATTTCAGGTTTATTATTTAATTTACATATATTGATAAGAAAATACTTGCATGTCAAGAGCACTATTGATGATACTTTTGTTTGTGAACGACTAACTGAGAAAAATCCCCATGCAAGGGACAAAATCGAGAAAGCAATTCTGAGACCAAATTGAAAAATACCATGTTCTTGACTGTGAAGGATCAAAATGAAGGAGAAAATTTGAGTATAAATAGGGACGTGGAGTCGTGGATTAAGTCCACTCACTTAATTAACGTCTCAATTACAGCTATTGAATTTTATCAATACTTGAAAATTATTAAAATACATTTCCTTTCAAAAATTCAAAAAAAACTATCACCATCCAAACACTCCTTCCGCCTGTCCTCTCCTAAAATTTGAGATTCAGTATTTACTAAGCATTATATGACAAAATCTTTGAGAGCCGTTTAATTAAATTAAATAGCTGTTACCATGAAATGTGACACACTCATTGAGTAAGTAGACTTAGGCCATTCACTTAATCCAAATCTTATAAATAGAGAAATAGCTCATTTGGGGTACACCAAAATTGGGTTTGAGGGACTAAACTAAGCCCCTTTATCTTTGAAGGGCTAAATCGATATATATTAGCTTTCAGGGATTAAATTGAGAGGCATGTGGTCTTTCAGGAACTAAAAGATTAATTTAATCTCAATAAAACGTATCATTTCCAAAACCCACAAACTCCTATTATATTGAAAATATGCAAGGATCAAGAAGGGCACAACTTTTCTTCGATTTCTATGGTTTAACTTCTAAGATCCTGCTGCTTCATTTTAACAGGAACTGTACCAAGTTTCAGAGATGCACACCTGGATAGCTCGTTTGGGCAACACCGCTGCTTCATGTAAACCAAGTAATTGTGCAACCTTCACGAAACATGTTACCCATAAGATTCAGATTTTGATCAAAATTGCTTTAGTTTTATTTCAGATAAAAAAAAAAAGTTCACAATCTGGTTAAAATACACGTGGCAGAAAAACGATGGACATTATCTGATACATAAACTACTGCAGCAAAATCTACTGTCTTGCATGTCCAGGAAAACAATTTTACTGATATAGATATCACTTGAGTAAGAAACAAGAGATAATATCCTTCATGGTCCTGAAAGCTATTTTCTGTTTGTTAGTGTGTGCGTGCTCTTGTTACCAACCAGGGATTACTAGTTGATGTGAGGCGATCCCCCCCCCCCCAAGTCTGCTTATTTTAGCATTTTTAGTGAGAAAAAAATCCTTTTATAAATACTTATAAAAATCTATAAAAATATTGTTATATTTTGTTTAAGATTTTTAAAATAATAAGGATTAGGAAAAAAAAGAAAAGCAGCAAATTTATTATCATTTTGAGAAGCTATTTTAAGTGGCTTTTAATTATTTTGATACGAACTTTCAAGTAAAAAAAAGTGTTTTTGATTGTAAACAAAGAATATAATTTTTAACCAGTAATAAAGTCATAGTTCAAAAACCATTCATATTAATTGTAAACGAGGGCTTTAGATCACCAAAACCCAGCATGTGAATGACAATACCTCTCTCAGAATCTTTTTATCACCAATTCCACTTGGTTGATCAAGGTCGGTGACCTCCCACAAAGGAATGCTGAGCAAAATCCTGATAACATCCTCGTCCAAAAATGGAAATCTGGCCTAGAATGTCAGAAGGAAAAAAAGATAGTAACTGGCATATTACCTGAGCCAAAACAAATATTGATATTTCAATCATTATATCCACCTTACCTCCTTTCCATTATCAGCAATGCATCTATCATCTCTCCCTAAATTTCTTTTCCAAATTCTCTGCATGTCCAGTTTCATTTCCTCATTAAGCTCCCGCCAACTGAAAAGGGCATATTGTACCATCAGATCAGAATTGAAAACACCAATCTCCTTGGAGAGTCTGCCAGTTTGGAACTATCCAGTAAACACTAAATGAAATACAAGGTCAATCTCCCAAATTGATAACCAATGCATTGATTAGTTGTAGGTATATACTGATACCCTGTGATCTGAATAATTCTTGAAAGCTCACATTAGTTACAACATAGATTCGAATGCTATAATTAATATATTATCTTCCAAAAAAATACAGCATTAAAAATATATTATGTAAAGTTTTTAATACTTTGATCTCAAACTTTCTTTCTTGCAGAAACTTCCATTGTCTAGTGTCTAGCATATATCTCCAACATTTGTAACGTAAAGTCACTCACATTACAAAATAGATAGATGGAAGAAATTACAATTATAAAGGCATTGAACTCAAAAGAATCATATAATCCACGCTGATTTATACCACAAAAGAGAATCAAATGAATAAGTGAAGAAATTGTCATAATAAAGTATGTTACCATTATCATATTAATACCTTCCTCGTCTATAACTTGTTCTATGTCTACCATAGCCAGCACACTGCTCATCAGCACCAGAACCAACAAGTAAAATCCTTGCTTTAGACTTGTATTTAATGCGTGCAAGATTGCTATCATTGCCATCACTATTTCCATCAGACACCCATCCATCACCACGAGCAGCCAGCCATAAAGCAATTCCTATATTCAAGTCCTGTAAGGATAAGTGCAAACTACTTATGGATGACCACTCAGAAATAGTAGTTCTCTGTCTGACATAAAAGGACATGTTGAGAATTTTAGAAAGGACCCTCTTTTCGTCTTTCAGTTGTATAATTTTCTGAAGAACTATATCACCTTGAAAGGATCTGAAGAAAATCTAAAGTTAACATCAATTCAAATGAATTTCAGGAAACAACAGAGGCAAAAGCATCTTGGATTTTATTTTTATTGTGCTAACATTAGCAAGTGTTAATATCCACACATGATAAATTGTTGGTCCCCATAATTAATACAATTAGTACCATGTAAGTATTTGCAGGTTCTATGAGGGACATAACATGACTTGTTTCAAAAGCCAAGTCAGACAATTCAGCATCAATCTCCACAAGCCTCCACCTGCACTTTTGTAACTGGACATTAGAGACACCAAAAAAAAAAAAAACAATGGAACTTATTTAAGAGGTCATGCATATTATAACAGTAGAAACCATCATAAAACAAAGCAAGCAATATGTACTTTGTAAGTTGCATGAACTCAAACAAAAACCTCTTTTACCCTTTATTATCCTTGATAGTTAACGGTCAAAGCTCCTAATATTTGCCACTAATGTACCCAATATATGTTTCATGGTGGCAAAAACTTATGAAATGAAGCATGGAGTTCTATTTAGGGGAGACATAAAAATCATATTAAACCCAAGGCAGTCTATCACGCAGAAATTTGACTTCATAATATGTTGATTACCTCCAAAGAGTCATGTAAATAGCAAAGAGTTGATATGAAATATTATAATAATGAATCCGGATAGTTGACAAAACTTTTACAAAGAATATCTTCCCCTTTTCTGGCGCATAACTGCTTATTAGATATATTTTAAAGGTTAAAAAGTCACTATACTTGGCAGTTTCAATTATTATCTTCAATATTATTTACATGGTAACAATTCTTCTTACTTGTCTTACGCAATAAGATCATTATCACTTAAATCAATTAGCCAATTTTAATTTCAGCTTGATTTTACTTTGATCTTGTTTCAAATGAAAGGTATCTAAATATATCTTCCTCATTCCTTTGTTCCAACCTCAGTATGATAAATTTTAAACATTGCGATGTCACTCTGAACATTGCAATTGCATCCATAAAATTTCGAACCTACATATGTGAAATGATCTCAACAGGTAGTTGGGTTTGTCAAAAATTCATTCAATATGCAGCATCCAATGTTGAAGGTATTTTGTAAGATTTGCGTCTATTTCTACTTAAATTTGTGGAATTCATTTCAATTACAGCATAAGAATTTTCCACTAATCAATGCAGTCTAGAACATGTCATTTGGACTGCTTCTGAACTCAGAAGTAAAGACTTTTTCTCCCTATTCTATGGAATAAGATGAGAAATCCAGCATTTCCTGGACTCCTACATTTTTTATTAAAAAAAATCATTCATCCAAAAAAACAAGAATAACTTGATATTTATGAATAATTTTAAACACCTCTATATGTATATACACGTGCATAAAAGGCTCAAATTTATGCATAGACCTAACCTTGAAGTAAGTGGGTAACAGAAGCCAACATTTACATTCGAGCAAAAGTTTTTTCCCTTAAGAGCCAAAAAAAAAAATGCACAGAAAACAGACCAATGGAAAACTTAATTGCAATTACATGCCTTCTGGAAGGTGCAACTCTTTTTAGTTCTGTTAAACCGGCCTTGGCAGATATTCTATCAGGAGCAGACTCACCATCAAAGCTCACATTAAGTAGATCAATTTCATCTGCCAATACAAACAGGAATTGGTGATCAGTTATGCTGAAGTTTCGTAACAATGAAATTTGCCAACCATTTTATCCAGCTTCATTTGTTTTAACACCAAGTTTCGTAACAACGAAATTTGCCGACCATTTTATCCAGCTTCATTTGTTTTAACACCAAACAAGGAACAAAATGTCATATTAGCTGACAGAAAACATCAATAGAATATCTGCCAAATGAAGAAAAGGGAGCTGAAGTAGCAAAACTCACAGCAGGGATCTAGACATTGATCCAATAATGCTGCAAGTATCATGGAATCCAGGCCACCAGAAAACAGAATAGCCACAGGAACATAACCTTCTTGTCTAACATCAGAGACTGTCGCCTACACAATCAAAGGTATAGAATTCTATCACAATTATAAATTAATATTAACCAAAAAAAAAAAAGTAGGACAGACCAAGCATAAATTCAAAGGTACCAACATTAGCAAGATCCAAAAGTACAAGTTCCTTTCTTATCTAAGATAATCAAGAAGATATCAAGAAGAAAACAGATACAGCTATCCTAACCAAAAAAAAAAAAATTAAAACAGAAGTCGTTTTTGTTCCATTGAATACCAGTTTATTGCAATTTTTCTAGCCAGTTAGCAAATAACATGAATTAACCCTCTTGTTTATGGAGATAACTAGCATCAGCTACAACTGCCAATTAACACCCGCTGGAAAAGCTCATAACTGAGCTCAAATGTTTCAGTGGCATGTGGTATCCATCCAGAAGCAACTATCCATCACAAAACCTAAGAAACAATATATAAAATCCAGCTTAAGTACACCAACAGCCCAACAAAAATTAAAGGCAAGCAAATTATGTCAAGAGTTCAGGGATCCATTTTGGAGCTAATAGTCACATTTACAATATCTTATCAACCACGTACAACTACAACATTTGTGATGGAGGCTGAGATCCTATTCCATGGCATCCATCCTACATGGCACTTATGTGACAAAAGGTGAACAAGTAGGAGGTCTAATGACTAATGGAGGCCCACAAAGAATTAAGATGCTTAAGGACTGTGTGCCATGATTAATTAGAATTTTTATTAGTTTATTTATGTGTTTTATTTATTTAATCAGGATTTTCAGATCTGGACGATTTTCAATTAAATCCTTTGGATTATCCATTGTCATTATTTTTTATATACGGGTGCCAAATAAGGATATCAAGGACACAACAATAACAACAAGCCTTATATCTCAAGGATATAGTATCTTATTATTATATCCTTAGAATAATTTAGATAGACGATATCTTATCATCCTCCTTATCTTTAAAATATTTTAGAATATATTTTTTGTTGTTTTTGATAAACTAATATATTTTTTATCTTCAGAGTCATTTAGGGTTAGAAATTTTGTCTATTTTAGGATCAAGTGGTATTCAGTTATTTTCACGTTTTATACTTGTTGCTTTGTGTTCTTGATAGAATACTTCTAGGTTGGATGAGTCTGATCAATTCTTGTGCCATTTATTAGTTAAGACTCTAGAAATGAGTTATTCTAGGGTTTTAGATGATCTTATTTTTTGTGTTTTCAAGTTTCTACTCTAACTTGTTCAACATTTCTTGGGGGCTCTAGACAGGTTCCTAAAGGATCCATATCAATCTGTGATTCAATTCACTAAGATTCCATACCTGATAGATAGTATACAATGAAGTGCGCCGAAACACAGATTCCTTTAAAGCCTTTAGCAGAGAATGAGCTGGCATTGAAATTGAGAATTGACTTGTGTCTGCTCAAAAAGAAAACATGAAGACAAGTCACAGACTAATAAGACTTGAAATCAAAAGCTACAGCCTTAATCAAAGTTCTTTCCCATTATAAAAGTGACAATGAAAGTTTCAAATGAATGAATGCCGCATTCCAGCACTATATAAGATGATTACCTGTTTCACATGGAGCTTCCCCCAACGGAGTTGAATGCACATTTTGTTGCTTCCTATAAGACTTGTATTGAGATGTATGCAGGTCTTCAGGTTTGGGTTCAACAGAAGTCCTCTCCCATTTCATAAGTTCCTTCAGCATTGAGTTTGTATATTCATGCCTTCTAACTTCACCAATTGGCCCTTGATTAGAACTTGATACATCAACACGTACACTGTATATTCCACATGGTAGCTCTTCCCAGTAACTGAGATAGCCTATTCCATTTGAAGATTCGTGGTTTATTTTTCTTAATATTTCTGATAATAGCAAGCTTTATTTAAAAAAGGGAAAATCACATCCAACCCCCTCTCAAAGGAATCAATCACAAATAAGGACCAGTACCAAGGTTGTTAAAGGCGAAAGGCGCACTTAAGGCGCAAAGCTTGTAAAACGCCTTAGGCGCAAGGCGCTAGAAAGGCGTGTGCTCAAATGAAGCGAGGTGCTACCATGTGTTGTAGTCTCTTGGTGTTGCTGCTCTATTCTAAACTTCCAAGGGATTATAATGGGTTCTCTTTTATAACCTAATCAGTATAAGTTGGGATTAAAATTTTCTTGAAAATTTTCCAAGGCTCACAATAATTTCACTATCATGTTTAAAATTTCAATCAAAGATTATTTCTTGTAATAAATTTAAATCTTTTCTATTATGTAATTGTCTTCTCTTATTTTGAAATTAAATATTCCATATTTGTTTTTATATCATTTAACTTTTCATATTTTATATCATATTTTAATGGGTTATGTATTAAAATATGAGCAAACTCATTGTCTTCTACAATATGTTACTCCATAGAAGTCAAGTGAAGTAGTCGGTGCTGTCCTTATCTTCTCTTCTTCCATACGCTGTCAGCATCATCCTCGTCAATTCCAATCGGTCGTTGTCTTTTCTTCGATAGGCAAACCCAGTCAGTCGTCCTCTTCACTTCTTCAATACCCAGTCCCAGTCGGTCGTCTTCATCTCTCCTTCAATGCCCAGTAGTCAATTATCATCTGCCCATCTTTTGTTCCCCTATTCTTCAACCTACTTAAACTAGGCACCCTCAGGCGTGCGCCTTTTGCTCATGCAAGGCGCACAAGGCGCTCTCAGGCGCGCGCCTAACTAACCCCATCGCCTCTCTTCACTTGAGAGGCGATGGCCAAGTTCAGCGCCTCGCCCAGGCGCCTTAGGCACTGAGGCGAGCGCCTTTTACAACACTGACCAGTACGAAACGGATTGTTGTTAAAATAGGAACATGACTTGTTCTTTTTTTTCGAATGGGACTTGTCGTTGGTCCTTATCTATGATAAATTCTCTTGGGAGGGGTGGTATGTAATTCTCCCTTTAAAAAATTCAAATAGTGTCAACCAACAACAAACACTAATAATATTTAAAGGACAAAAACAACATTAAGTGAAACACAAAACTCAAAGAGACAAAATATATTAAACTTATGGTTCAAATATCAAGTGAAAAATTGGAGTGACATAAAAACAGGAGAAGAACAAGAAGAAAAAGGAGATGATTAAGGTAGATGTAAATAACCTTGACATTGAAATCACACCATTATTATCTAATGAAACATTCCATTATTATGGACGCTCTCCAAGCCATTTATATTCACAATTCGCAACAAATTATTTTTCACTATAGTAGAAACTGTGATGTAATAAAAATTAGAAACTTGACACCAAATTGTTGGCAGTTCAAAGGCTAAGTTTCATATTATCGTGAGTGCTTGATTTTAAAAATTATCCTAGTACTTTATTAAGCTTAGGCAGGAAATATTTGAGAGATTTAAAATTACAAATGAATGACATATTTATTTAGATAGCCCTTCAGTGTTAACATAGACCCTTAAAGTTTCAACATGGACAGGGTGGGGTCAACAGTCAAAAAATGGGTAGCATTCATGTATCCTATTAATAACATCCCTAATCTTCATATGCTTCACGAACCTTTCTTAGAAACATGATACAGCAATGCTAGAAGATATAGCACATAGTATGCTTTTAATAGTAATCTTAGTTGTGTAACAATGAAAGACAAAATATTCTACTCATATCCATCTAAAATTCAGAATTGGAGGCAAAAGTGAGAGAAAAGAAGATTTATCCTGTAACATCCTCCTCTAACTAGGATAAATAGATATATGAATAATATAGTTTCTCTAAATAAATAAATAAATGACAAGTCGTTTAAAATACACATGCATTTGAATTTAAAATGCCTATTTAGCTAAGATAAACTACATGTTATTACGTGTTTCATATACTCAGTTATTTAAATTGAATGATATGTGATAATATGCTTACATTAAAATTGTACATACATTTATTTGATTTTATGACATTTTGTGCTTGATGCAATCATTATTATGCTTAGCAATTAAAAAGAATGCATCATACAGAGATGCAACAGATCACTTAATAAAATTAGCATAAATTTAATATCTTGCAAAGTAATAGAGAGTCCCAAGTGAAATTTACATAAGAAAAAAAAAATATTTAACTCGGGGATTTTGAGACTACATTAACTAAGCCAAATTTACCTTGGCATAGCTATGAGAGGCTTACGCCATCAAGGAAAAAATAAAACTAAAGCTAACCTATATCTAAAATCAATGACGCAACATCTGAAGCAGTAAAGGACATGGATAGATTACAAAACCATCATGTAACTCAAACTTGAAAGGTTATATACCAGAAGCCTTCTCAATAGGTGAAAGAGGAGATACAGAAGAAAGCATAAAGGTTGGGTCATCTTCTGTAGGCCAGTGAACAAGGAGGCTCCGCCTACCAAATGCATCTCGGCCAAACCAAAGGGTTCTTGAACTATCCTACAAATGTCAAAAGAAGCACAATTTCTAACAATATTGTGGAAAGGAAAAAGATACCAGAATTTATTTTGATTGATAGAAACTTACCACTCAGAGTTACCTGCCAGTAGATGATAGCCCATGGTCCTTTAATCATAGAAAGAAGATCAGGAATAGAATTTTTCCCACTTTTAAGACAACAGTGTAAATTAGAATCACATGAACAGCACTTTCCCAGTGTTTGCATGAGAAATTCACTGTCATTGTAATCACTTGCAATATGAATTCCTCCAAAAATTTCACCTGAAATACAGAACAATAAAATGGAACCTCAAAAAGTATAAACACATGTAGTAAGAGCACTAAACTAAAATGAGTTCCTGATATATATGACAGAGAGAGAAACACAAGCAAAAAAGATAGAAACTGGCATATACATGTTCAAGACCTTGACCTATGCTTGTAGTTTCAGGGTATTTACAAATTTTAAGCTCCATGTAAACATGATGAGATGTGCAATAACTTCAAATTAGAACGAAATACTTGAATTTCCACGTTCAGTTATACTTGTTTCCTATTCAATCAAGTCTTCAAACTGCATGTCATATATGAGATACGCCCATGCTTCGAAACAGTGGGCATTGTACGGGAAAAAACTGATTCTCTAGCCATCACATTTCTTCTAAACTAGAAAGAAGGGAAAGGATTTAAATTAAGCTAAAAGGAACTACAGAGACAATAAAGAGTACCATTGTAAACAAGGATATTTCCATGCGCATTCACCAAAGGCTGAACAAGTGGATGTATTCCCCTGAGTTGCAAGGTTGCACCAATGAAATGCAGTTCTGCAGAGGAACCTTGGACAACAGCATTGTATAAGGAGCTAGGTAGGCCGTTATCCAAGGAGGCACGATCACATTTATTTCCAGACTGCATTACATGCAACTTCTCAATTTCCTCCCCCAATTCCAATGCCTCATCATCTTCAATGAAGGATGAAATGCTTTTTTGACATGAGACGTCGAATTGAAGATATAGTTTCTTGATACCTAAGCTATCAGGACCCCTTCTACGTAGAGCTGCTTTAAGATTATCTACAGAGAACACCAACTAAAGCAAAGAAACCAAATGGAACCAAAGTAAAAAGGCAGAAAATTTGTGACTAACATAAAACAAAACACCCTCTAAATTCAAGATAGAATAATATTTTGCTATCAGAAATGCATAAATCCTGCCCATTTTGAACTTACATCTTCTGTTTTACAAGGTGAGCATGCCGAATCAGATGACAAAGATGAAATGTCAATCTGGACGCCCGAGACAATCAGAGCAATACCACACATCTCTTGCTTTACTTGTTTGCTTCTCCAAGCTTTGCAACTACAAAGAACGTGCTTAACGCACCGAGTCCCAACTGAGATTCTTCAAGGGTTTTGACTTCAGGATTCCAATGAAGACTACTTAAACAAATTACCAGACAATATCAAATAATATTGCAAAACACCACAAATCAGCTTTCGTAGCATAGTGGTAGTGCGTTCGCTTCGTAAGCGAAAGGTCGCGAGTTCGATCCTCGCCGGGAGCTATTTTGTTTTCATTTACTTACCTCTGAATGCGTCCCTGCTCTTCGTTTTCGAATTTTTGTTCAGGAACAATTAAACTCATTAATCATGCCAACGGCTCATCATTTAATTATGCCATTAGTGTGTTTTATCCCCGAACTATTCAAAAGTTTGTGAAGGAAACAAAAAACACCAGCATGGAAACTCGGAATCTTGGACGAAAAAGCCTTATTCCTGTGTGCAACAGTTTCGATAAGTAGTAGTAAGGAGATGCCCTTGCCCTCGAGGTTGTAAAAACAAAGACATGAATTTGCCCTCTCCGCAGAGCCCTAGGACTCCAGGCGTCCAGGGGGCTCTCTCTCCTGTGCATGGAAAAGTTCTTTTATCAAGGTGAAAGTGAAAAAGAAAGTGGGAGAGAAGAGGAAGCGAGGTGAAAATGAGCTTTTTTGAGTGGGAACTGAAATTCATACAACACAAATTAAATAAAATACAAGAAGTCCTGAACCAAACACAAGGAAAAAAACAAAAAAAACAAAAATGTTCTCTTTTACCATCTTCCATCTCTAAAGTCCGGGTATGGAAGATAATTAAAGAGATAAAAAGTTATCTCTTAAGAAGTGAGATAATCTAGCTAAGTAATTTGCATCTCTATTTTAATCCCCCATTGAAAATGAGCTTTTAAAACATGTTTGGTTTGCATATGAAAATTGGTTTCTCCCTTAGTCACAAATTATAAAACACTTTTAGACAAAATTTTACATATTAATAAAGGTCATTAGATACACTTTACAACCTTATTTTTTCAAAACAAAAATATAAATTTTTAAATATACCCTTTATTTAATACTCCATTGATAAAAAATTATTGAAGAGAGGGAATATATGAGAAAGGTAATATTGAAAAATTATCATTAATCAAACTTTATTTTTATCAAGGTGTTTTATATTTTGGGATGATGAATCTTTCATAAAAGTATCTTCTAATTTGAAATGGATGGAGCATTTTTTATGAAGGAAGTAAAGGAGGAGATGGGTTCTATGAGTATCAAAGTGAGTTCCCTCAATTTTTTTTTATAATCAAAAGTTTAAATGAATTGGATTCAAGGAACTAGGGTCAAGACATCAGTTCATTCAATTTAAATGGAACTAGATTTTTGGAAAAGTGAAATCCATTATACCAAACAATATTTTTTTTTCAATTACACTTTCACTTCACCTTCTCTAATTCCGATTCCATGTTGTTAACCAAAGCTCTCTTTTCATGCATGCTTACAAAGTTGCTTGCATTCTGTTTGAAGCTAGTGTGTTTTGGTGACTCAATTAATCTAATTATTATCATATCATGAGTCATATAAGGTCGCCTTTACCAATCCACAATTAACACTAAAACCAATGTAATCATCGGTCTAATCCAATTAAATTACCAAGTTTGTAATATTTGCATAAATGGGATACCAAGTTTTCAAACTTAAAAGAGTACTCAAATATTATTTTGTAGACTAGAATCAAAGTAAAATATAAATATAGAAGCATGGATACCAAAAAAGGATCGTAGTAGTTGTATTTTTGTTGAAAACAAGATAGCATTGCGGAAAACAAAGGGTGCATCATTTGTATGCCGCATTACAGGCGCCATGCATCGCAGCGCATTACACATCTATGACAGCATTTTTTCATCTGATATTTGATTGAAGTAATCTAGGTGTTTGTAGAAAGCTCTTTTTATAACCTAGCTAGTGGTACGGATTTTGCTTCCAAATAAGTTCACAAGAGGGAGTTAGACAATCAAACACATTTTTTCAACCTTTCACACTTTTTTACATAACAAGAGTGTCCAAAACTCAATACATGTGCCAAAAGCTATCATTAACACTTAGACCATACTCAATGGACTTAAGATGACCTTTGTAAGACACCACATAAACATAACAGCAACAAATACTCATTTCTAAGCCTCAACCCCTAAATATCAAAACAATTTGCATTAAATCAATATTCTTGCAAATGAGTAACATATATAACATCTATATACTTGTACTAGTATTTTGATCCTATTAAAAATAGTCAAATTGCATACACATATTTCAAGGCCCAAAATACAACCATCAATCATAACATTCCTATAGTTTAAGTATATTCAAAATGCACTTCCTAATTGGCAATATCTTATCAATTGAACAAAATAAAATAGGTTTGGGAGGCTTTACAGCAGGAATAGTAAAATTCTTAAGCCTCTAGAGCTTTTCCCTTATTCGCATGCAAGTTAAATCTTGTAAAATGTTAAGAGAGAGGGGTGAGTACAACCACTCAATAATTAAGATATATATATCATATGCAATTGCATATCAATTGACATTAAACATGTATTAGAGATGATTGCACATATGCATTTAATCACACATAACACATATCATAGTTACATGATTCATCTTATTATCATTTTTCACAAATCATATCACAAGACACATTGCCACAATATTGACAACCATATAACAATGGCCTAATCAAACGTAACAATGCACATTGCTATAATAATAACAACCATGTGAAAATGACACATTTAAATATCACGACTTATCACAAACTTATCAACCATATGACACATTGGATAAGGATGCATGATCGATTTCTCCTTATATCCTTCTTATTTTCTCCGACTAAAACCATAGGCTATAAATCAAATAGGACTATATTCATGTGAATGGACTAACCAGGCTCATCAATTGTGGGGAGTAACTTGGCCAAAAGTTACTATACTTACTCTTAAACCACAGCTTCCCCTACTCTCAAAATCTTGGGTGTCGTAAACTCTAAGCTAGTCTCATCGACAAATAAGTACAGATAGTTAGGTTCAAGTCTCTTGACAAAAATAATGGGATAAGGCTAGCCTTTATTTATCGAAAAGAGGCCATATAATATCATGTGGATTTTATCTACTCCTTTTCCTAGGCAAACTTCCATTAATACAATCATGCATAGAATCATGCCCACATATTTCAACACATACACATGTACAAAAGCAAGCACACTTTTTTTCAACATATAACAGGCTACCGCATGTGAGCATCACATATCTCTAAATATCACACATAGTTCTTATTCTCATTCTCATATACTCATATCATGTTCACATATCCTTTACTTTATCCATGCATTGCACTCAAATTAATATAGCAACACAATCATCTCATCAAATTATCAATTTCTTTTTAATACATATTTGTGATATTTTCAATGCCCAACATTGCATTTGTCACCTAATGGATTAACCAAAGTTCCTATGTTTGTGCACTTATTCAAAAGTATACAATCCACTCATTCATATCAATTAATTCATTTTCAAAAATATAAATCAATTAATAGACAACTATACACAAAAGATTTCCCCCAATTACTCTAAACCTTTGAGAGTTCAAATGTTTACTCCTCAAACTATTTGCTTCCAAAGCTTGGTCCTAAACCAAATAGATGCACAAATGATTAATTTATAATTACTCAAGTTCACAATCATCAACATCACTATTCACACACTTTGACCTCTTATTCTCAACACTTAAATCACCCAAAGTCTTTATATCTTGCATTCAAGCTTGCCTAATTAGCTCATTATCTTCCATTAACCTCAAATAACTTCATTAAATTTTTTTAGAGTCATTTATGTCACCCAAAAACCTCCAAAACTCACATTTAATATCAAATTTTTGGACATAAATGCCCAACAACCACTATTAATGTGTAAAACTTTCAATCATAAGCTTTAACTAGTCAAATAACTCCTATTAACTTAATTTGAGTCAATGGGTTTGGACCCATAGCTTTTATAGACCAAAATTACATCTAATAACAAAACATAACTCTCAAAACTTCTAAAAATGGAAGAGAGAGAGAAAAGGGATTATTAAACTTATCCTTAGTAGTTAATAGCTCTAAATGTTCTAAACTCTCTCTAAAAGCAAACCCTAGCAGAGCTCCATATTGCCTCTCGTGTTTCCTCTCCTTTCTTTTTTGTTTTTCACATCTGATCGTGTCTTATTTCTATAGAGAATGGCCATGCGTCATGTGGTACAGAGAGGTTTCCTTCATGTTTTCTTGCCCAATGCATCATGGCACATGAGGTATATGCTGTGGCATCTGGCACAAAGGCACTTTTCCTTGCTTTTCTCCCTTTTTAAGGTCCAGGTGACCTAAGTTCGCTTCAGACCCTAACCTAGAGCTGAAAGCACATCCCAAAGCATTCATTAGTCTTCTCTAACCACACACCACACCAGTTCTACTTTATTACCCTTAATTAGTTAGATTATTAGGGGACTAATTTTCAGGATATTACAAGCCATGTGACTTTCAATTCATATAAACCACTTTTACTAATATTGGGTACACTATGCATCACTTACTTTCCTCTTTAAAATCCTCACTTTGTCCATTCCTTTTTCGTGAAAACTCTCGACTGTTGTGCGCCCCACTCTTTGCTTTTGGATATATTTTTGATTTTGCATGGGAAGGAGAAGTTATTTTCACCATTACAAAATATACTTTTTATTAAACTAATCTATGTCAGTTTTAAAAATGCGAGGTAAAAAATAATACCAGTAATAATTTCATAATTAAGTGTTGAATCAAGAAAGCTATCCATAAAAGTGACGTAAAAATAGACCAATACATGTCACTTATACAAGAAATCACATGGATTGATTAAAAATAAATTAATTATTTTTTTATAGGAAGCCATATCGATTTGCTAGAGAGAAATGTGGCTTCCATTATCCATGTCGCATACTTGGATAAGTATTTTTTATTTTTTATTTTTAAGGGAAACCATATCGCTTTACCAGAAAGTGACAGGGCATCCATTATTCACATATTTCGTTTTAAGATAAATGTGTAAATTTAGTTATCAACTATTTTTTAAGAACTACTGAATAGCCTATATTATCAAGTAGTACAAATAAATCATCAACTATTAATATCGGTGCACCCATAGATTGCCATCTATTTTTCATCAATGTCTATTTATTTTTAATGGTAGGGCTCACATTCATCATCTTCCTTCATCTCCACCATTAGAACTTCCTCATCTCTCTCTCCCCCCTCTCTCATTCACACCATACCTAAACCCTCCCATAACTCCACATCTGAAGCCTCCCTTCACCTCTCTACTGTCGACAGGTCTAGCTTTTGATTTTAGGTTTTTCCTCTCATCTTCCCTGCTCCAATTATTTGATATATAGTCGACAAGTTTCATAGTTGTGTGCTGCACCCTAGTTGCCACATGATTATGTGTGTCTCTTGATTTCCATGGTGTTACATATAAGTCAGAACTCAAAGAGAAAG